CTCATCTTTCTTGTCCAGTGCTGTAAGCCTATAAACTTTGTTAATTTGGACATAATGTGGAAAGGAATGAGGTGAAGCAGCCCTGAGATGGGTACAAGAGACAAATATATTACATCTTTCCAGACCCATCCTGTTCCTGAGAATGTTGTGTCCTGCAGGAAGATGTCACTCCCTCCTGATTTAGAATTCACGCTGCCAGTGAAGTGGGAAGATATCACCAGCTGGGGTAGCAGTCAATGCCTTACAAATCCTAGGAAATCCTGTCTGTATCAGTTTGTGAATGCAATACCTGGGCAATCCCACTTCCATTACTGTGGAGCTTCGCAGTGGCATTCCAGGGTTTAATTTTCACTTACTTTGCGTAACTTTGAATGAGACCTTTCCATGGGAGTGGTTTCTGAATAAACCTATGCCATGTATGAAATATCAAAGGTGAGAGAGGGGTCTGCAAGTGGCCAAGTTACTGCGTCAGCTGAGTGGCAATGACCAATAAACGACAGCAAAGCAAAGCCTGAACTTTTAAAACCAGTATGATGGTTTTAGTGTGGTGGCTTGCTCTAAAGCCCGTAGCTATGGGGGTGGGTCAACTAATGATAACTGGGCATAGTAAGAAGAAAAAAGGAAGTGAGACCAGTGTTCTTAATTATGCTATTGCTTTCATGAAAGGGTGTTGAGAAAGAATTGGGCAGGGGGATCGGAATTAGATGATTTTAAGGTCCTGTCAAGCCCTGACTATTCTATAATTCTATTAATTTGGAGACTACTGTCATAGCTTGGTGGTGTTTTTGTGGAGCTCCTCAAACCTGAAAGGATGGGTTCATGGAGAAGATGTGAGAGATTGTTAGCTTTGAGAGGGGTGTGATTAATTTCCTGCCTTTTTGCATCTGAGTCACAAGGCATGCACTGGTGAGCACACAAGATAGAGTAAGCAGCAGCCTCAGGTAGTGTTCTCAGAAAGGATTTGTGGCCAGGGGGTTGTTTTTCCTTTGTTAGGATTTTTTGGTTTGCTCACTTTGACTGTTTAGCCAGCTTCTTAACCTTGTATTTACATGAACCAAACCACATTGTTTGTTTTGGAAACTGGAGCACCCCAGGCAGATGGGTTGCTGTCAACAAGGGTTTCCCCTCTAGTGCAGGAACCCTAACATCATTAGAGGGTACAGTTTGGCAGCAGAGCCAAGCTGATCTAAAGTCTTGTGGCCAGCAGAAGGGGAGGCACTGCAGTCTTCCCCACTTCTGACCTGTTCCTGTGACTCCCCTGATGATTGTGTACAGCAGGCATGTTTTAAATCCTGCTTCTCAGTGTATACCTGAGGAGAATGAATCTGAATCCTGCATCTATTACCACACCAGCTCCTGGTCAGTAATAAGTTGCATGCATAGGGAGTGCAGGACAAACCTTGGGGGAGTGCAGGTGAATAATTTGGTGTCTCTGGAGCATACTGTGTGGCATGTTAAAAGATTCATTTGCTATTGAACACGATGAGTTTGTGTATATGCATCTCTCTTGTTGTTCTTTTGAAATGTTCTGTGTGCTGTCTTTAATTTCCGTGAGGAGGGATGTTCCACCCCTACCCCAAGTTCCAGATTTTTGGTTAAAAAGATACCAAACTCTATGAATGAATAATACGGGTTTGTATCATTGAAAAGAGAAGCAGAGATGACAGGGCTCCTGATATATTAGATACAAACACAAGGAGAATCAGGTGTTCAGTACAAATACCCTCTGAAATAATAAACAAATATTTTGTATAAATAGCATCTCTCTTATGTTAAGGCTGGAGAACAGTTCACGGCTAATGTTGAAAAATGCAGCACGGAATGACTGAGTCAGGCAGGCTGACACTTGGGAATGGGGTCATTTGTTTTGTGCAGTTTTGGGTTTCAGAGGGAGGCCTGCCTACTGCCAACAGGATGTGCTTTTCTTGAATTTGGTTTGCACATAGGGTTCTGGAAAGTCAGAGTGGTACTGTGAGGGGAAATTACCAAAGTGAGTGGTAAACAAAAGCAAGTAAAAGGATGGGAAGCTGTTCATTCATCGTGTGAAAGGAGTTTTAGCATAACTTTCCTTTTGTTGTTTTAGCATTATTAACAAAATCCACAAGTGACAGCACACACAAGTTTCTCCAGCTTGGTAATAATTTGCTCTTAGATTAGATGGCTGTAGCTGGGGGTAAACCAGGAATCAATATGCTTCTTGTTTGAGCCGGTAAGGAGGAGGTGGAGAGGTGAAAAGCAGGATAGCAGGGGACTAAGTAGTGGCATACTTATTTGAATCTCAGTTATATGATGTCTGTTGTTCCTGCTGCTAGGAAAGGATGCTGAGCCCCTGAACTCAAAACCTGGGGAGGAGATGACAAGAAACTTTATCATCTTGATGCAGTTTTACAGAAGATAAAGTAACTGAAGGACAGGTTGTGAATGGTGCCAGGCCTTTGCTATTTTGTCTGTAGGGAGGCAGAAATTACTTACTCCGTTCGGTAGTGTTTCTTGTTGTTCTTTTTGAAGTTTCCCTTTCTTATTAAACATAGTCTTTTTGGCTTTGATTTTAGGTAGCCCTGCTTTTCAGTGAATGTCAGCTCTCGCTCATCATTCAGCAGCTGTTTCCTTATAGCTTAGCAGATCTCTGAATGCTGCACGGTAGTGTATTTCCTGCCTTAAGAGTAGCTTTTTCCTTTCCAGTCTTTTCCTCCTAAGCCACCTTTTTGTGAAAGCATATGGAAGGGCTCTAGACCTGAGACTGATGTTTCTTCACTTCCTAATGGCCTTGCAGTTTGGCTGGGCTCAAATATTCAGAAAAGTTGGAGAGGAGCCTCGTGCTTGTACATAGGACACCTGCATCCTGAGTGATGTCCTTTGTGTGCCGAGTTGTCAGTAGGGCTGTGCTAGAAAAGACCAGGTGATGATTACAAGTACTCTTTTGCCTAGGAAGCATGCCCAGATTCTACTTGCTATAGCTCCAAGACCATCACAAGGCTGAAGAGGGTCTCTCCACTTGAATCATAGATTAACAGAACGGTTTGGGATGGAAGGGACCTTAAAGATTATCTAATTTCAGCCACCCTGTTATGGGCAGGGACACCTTCCACTAGACCAGGTTGCTCAAAGCCCTGTCCAACCTGGCCTTGAACACTGCCCGGGATAGGGCATCCACAGCTTCTCTGAGCAACCTGTTCCAGTGTCTTATCACCCTCACAGCAAAGAATTTCTTCATAATATCTAATCTTCCTAACATCTAATCTAAATCTTTTGTCCTGTCACTACATGTTCTTGTAAAAAGTCCTTCATTAGCTTTCTTGTAGGCCCCCTTTAGTTATTGGAAGACTGTTAGAAGGTCTCCCCAGAGCTTTCTCTTATCCAGGCTACCCAAGCCCAGCTCTCTCAGCCTGTCTTCATGGGAGAGGTGCTCCAGCCCTCTGATCATCTTTGTGGCCCTCCTCTGGACTTACTCCAACAGGCCCACACACTTCTTATGTTGGGGGGCCCCGCACCTGAACATAAGTACTCCACGTGGGACCTCATGAGAGCAGAGTAGAAGGCTTGTAGCTTGCTTCTGCTGCGTTTCTCCTTATTGTAAAGCTGGAGGAGTTGTTTATAGTCAGCTGGCCTGCCTCATCTTTGCAGAGAATGCGTTTTGTAGTCTCTCATATGAGCAAGATTTAATGGTGTCTTCTGTCTACTTTTTGAGGGTGTGTCTGCATGGGCCCGTGCCTCATAGAGGGAACTGCTGGTGATGGAGCTACTTGAGGCACCAGCAGCCCAAGAGCTGGGGATGTGAATGATTTGGGGTTCAAGCTTTGCATTCCATTCTTGTGATAGAACTGCTTATTTTGATTGAGCTTGTGGAATTACAGAAACTGTCTAAGAAAATGGTGGAAAGAGAAAATAAGACAATTGCAAGCACTCTGCAGTCATTAGGCTTGGTACACTGTGTGGCTAATGCACCATTTGGCATAAAGCTAAGTGGGGCTTTTTAGGAGGAACACAGTATAAAGTCCAACCAGAAGACTGGCCCTTCTGCAGGTCATGTTAGAGCCACTGCAGTGGAGACTGCCTCTGCCTGCACCATGGTGCCAAAAACGGATCCAGAGGTGCACGGCTGAAAACTTCCATGCTTGCAAGACTAGCTGGTGCAAGGCATGTGACCTGCATGTCTCCAACACCAGGCTAGGGACCTTCCAGTCCTTGGGACATGTATCTCTGCATGCTTGTTTTTGCCTTGTGTGTAGCTTTGCAAGGTGAATAGTTGTACTTCATCCTTGTTACAATTGGTGAAGTAATCTGTTTGTTTCGTGACAAGAGGGGCTGCTGCGGTCTGTTGGTGTCCGCTGGCTACTAGAGTCCCAGAAATCACTGTTATTCCTTTCAAGTGCCTGCAGGCGTCAGGCTAGGGCTTTTATTTCACTCCTGCAGGAGCATTTTGTGCTGCCACCTGGAGGGACATGAACAGAACAATTCACAGGCCAGTTTGCACGCTGGCAGGAAGGGAAACTGTTTATTTGCAAGTAAAAGTGTGAAGCTGAAAAAAATATTGTTTCCTAAGAAGTAATAAGAACGTTTACACAGCAATAGAATGAAAGGAAAAAGCTAATCAGTAAAAAAGAGCTAATTCACATCTGCCGGTTTTTGTGGAATGGTGTTGAAGGTGCTAACTAAAGTGTCTTGATTAAGATTTTGTAGGTATATGTGTATATATGTGTATAGGCTGGGTTTTGTGGCAAAATAAACTGGTTTATAAAACAGTGGAGACTAACATTTTTCCAGCATAGGTTGTTTGTTTCTTTGTTTTTCTCTAATAGTTTGTTATGCAGTATTTTTTTCTCAATAGATTATTAGGTGTCTTTTGCAGGTTGAAAAGTCTAGACTTATTTTTTTTTTCTTTAAACTGATTTCTCCCCTCACATCCCCCATGTATTAATTAAACCGGTCTTTATGTTATTTGAGCTTCCAGTAGTTTTAAAGTTTTAATTTATATAATTTATTTTTGTTTTCCAGGTCAGATGTACAATTGTCTGTAAGTATCGTACTGTTGTTCTATTCTATTTTTATTTTTTTATTTTTTTTTTAGAACTCTTGTGATCATAATTTCTTTTAAGAAAAATCGAACAATATCATCTAAGGATTGAAAAAAACAAAACAAAACCAAACCCAGCTCCCCCCACCCCCAGAAAAACCCTCACCAAACCAAACCTGCCTGAAAATTTTTTTTTTTGGAAATTTCATTCAAAAAATATAAACTTACTTATTTTAGTGGCTGTAATTCCTGCAATGCGTTTCAGGATATTTAATGATGCAAATGTGTGCTTTAGTCCCTTTGCTTTTCAGCTTATAAAGAGTTCTGGTAAAGTCAAGTACAGATATAATGTGCTTAGAAAGACTGGGAAGTATACTTAAAGGCAATACAAAACAAAGATAGACCCCAAAGTGGTGCTTTAAGGATTTTCTGAAGCGAGTATAGCAACTGCTGTACTTGCTAGATGACACATTCTTAATGTGGCAAAAATTCTCAAAAGTACTTGCAGCTGAGTTCTACCTTAATGCTCAACATCGGACTTGCATGAGTTAGCCTTGAAATTTTAGGGCCTGAGTCCATTCTCTCCATAGTTTGGGCTGTATCCCATCAAGGTAAATTTGTTTTCAGTAGGTATACCACATATCCCTTACTTGCAGGAACACACTGTGGGACTAGAACATTTTTGCTGGTGCACTGAGGTGAAGAGACAAAATTGCCATTCCAGGTTGAGTGAAGCAGCTAACTTCTGATAGCACATGAGGAAAATACATGCACAATATGGCTGCAAGTTTGTTCAGTTCCTTTCAAACAAAACTGCATGGGGGAAAAAAAGAGCAGATCATGGTAGATTTCATCCACACCCTGAGTGGAGTTAGTGAATGGCTGAAATAATGTGGCAATCTCTTAATCTAATTCATATTGTCTCAAAGAAGTTAAACATGGTAAAACCAGGAAATGTGCAGTAAAATCCCTGCAGGAGAACAAACTCTGAAAACAGAAGTGACTGTGGTCTCTGCATGAAATCTATAAATGGTTATAATTTTGCAAATGGGAAACCCAGAAATTTTGTAAAGATACTTGCTGCTTTGTATTCTTTCATTCAGGCACTCGGAATTGCAGCTCAACAAATGAAACTGCAGGAACAGGAGCCAGTAGTAATGATAATTTATCAATAAACTCTGCAAGTGGGAACAAAACCAGTGGGGATGGAAGATGGACCATGGATGTGTTACTGCACAACAGGGCAATAAATGATTCAAACAATGTAACACGTAAGTGGTTTGGAATGTGACAGGATGTGAATCTTCAGGCTGTTCTGTGTTTTTAGGATGAATTAGCATTTTCAACCTGGACTCTAGCCCAGAGTGCTAAGAGCATTGCAGGGGTATGGATTCAACTGCCTTGCTGAAGTACAGAATGGCCAAATAAATGTATCTACACAGATGACCGGGAGTGCAATTTAACACCGTGATTGGCGTGTGGCCTTGAAGTACTTTTATCACTCTTAAAGTTGGGCTCCTTTCTCTGCTATTATGGCTTCTTAGGTTACAGCTGCAGCAGTTCAAACATATTGTGACATATAGATTTGAAATATATAAGAGTACAGCTGAAGTACTTTATGTATCTTAGAGGAGAGCTGTGTAAATCTTTTAAAATGTTTTTCCCCTTGCCTTTCACAGAGCATAGCCCAGTCCTTACTTTGAAGGCAGAATATGTTGGTGTCACTTCTGTCAACTTATCATGGGCAGTGAACAATGCCGCTTCTGAGTCCGACATGTACAGGATAGAGGTTGTAAGTGGTACTGCTGTCAGGAACCTGACATTCAGTGTCACCGAAGCTGAAATTACTGAGTTAATCCCTGGGACAATGTACAATTTCACAGTGTTTGCAGTAGCAGCTGATGATCAGACAGAAGAAAGAGTATCCCTAAGCCTGTATACAAGTAAGTCACAGTTTCTTGCAGGCTTGTATCTAATGGACTGTATTTTGCTGTGCAGTACAGGGCTCTGCCTACCTGTGTGAGGATTTTAACTCAATACTACTGCATATAGACCTGATACTTTAGTCTTAGAGCCTGATCTGGGCTACATGAAGAGGATGAGGTGTTAGTGTGCAACACAAACATAGCTCTGATGTTTTTATTTGGTTTTTAATTATCTTCCTTACACACTTTCCCCTCCATCCTTGTCTCTTTCCTGCCTACCTCTAGGTTTCCAAGGGAAGCCCAGGGAGTCCTGTCAGAGTAATGGCCTGTGCTTCTGCTCTGGAGTGTCAAAGGGAGATGAATCTAACTCAGAATGACTTTTCTTCAGCTTTGTCTTAGCTGATCATTGGTGCAGAAGCCTCCAGGAGCATCTGGTGATGTTGTTGGGGTGCTCCTGCACTCGGAACAATGAGAGAAGAAAATGAAGTAGCGGTGCCTGTATTTCTTCTGTCCATGCATGTGAGCAGATGTTCTTGCAGGTTGACAAATTGTTGTCTTGTGTTTCACAGAGCCCAGCCCAGTTTTTGACCTCAAGGCAGAATATGTTGGTGTGACTTCTGTCAACTTATCATGGGCAGTGAACGACACTGCTTCCAACTCCTACACGTACAGGATAGAGGTTGTAATTGATACCTCTATTATGAACCTGACATCCAATGTCACTGAGGCTGCAATTGCTGAGTTAATCCCTGGGACAATGTACAGTTTCACAGTGTTTGCAGTTGCAGCTGATGGTCAGACAGAAGGAGAAGGAGTATCCCTAAGCCTGTATACAAGTAAGTCACAGTTTCTTGCAGGCCTGTTTCTAATGGACTGTATTTTGCTGTGCAGCACAGGGCTCTGCCTACCTGCCCAGTAGCTGAAATACAACACAGACCTTACCTGGGCTGGCTAATAAGAATGAGGTGTTAATGTGTTGAGGAAACATAGCCCCATTTTGTTGTTGTTGTTTGTTTTTAAAAAACGCCAAACCCTGTTTAACACCACCACCACCTGGTCCCAAAACAGTAAGTGCCTCACAACAACAACAAAACTAAACCCAACCAGCCAGAGATGCCCTTTCTTGCTGTCGTGGTTTAAACCCAGTCAGGTAACTCGTTCGCTCACTTCCAGTGAGTGGTGCCGAGCTGACAACAATCGAGGTCCGTGTCCGTCTCCCCCGCCCCCCCCCCCGGCACCGGGGCTCTCCCCTTCCCTGCTCCCGGAGGAACGGGGAGGAGGATCGAGAGAGTGCAACTCCTACGGGTTGAGACAAGAACAGTCCAGCAACAAATCACCACCGCTACTATCAGCTAAAACAATGATAAGGGAAAATAACAAGGGAAGAGAATACGATACCACCGGCCAAGAAAGCGAGTTCCACCCGGAAGCCCCTGTCCTTCCGGGTAACTCCCAGTTACCCCCCCACCCCGGGCATGACGTGCTGTGGTATGGAATACCTCCCCGGCTAGCCCGGGTCAGGCGCCCCGTCTCTGCTTCCTCACAGCTTCCCCTCCTCCCTGGCAGAGCATGAGCCTCACAGAGTCCTTGGTCAGGGTAAACATCACTTAACAACAACCGAAAACATCGGCTTCACCAACACTGTTCTCAAACTAGAAGTCAAAACACAGCACTGCACCAGTTAACACAAAGGAAAAAACATGACTGCTACTGCTGAACCCAGGACACTTGCCCACCATACTGATCCGTTTCTTGCCCACCTCTAGATTTGTATGGGAAAACCTGGGAGTCCTGTCAGAGTGAGGCCTGTGCTATTGCTTTGGAGTGTCAAAGGAAGATTAATCCCACTCAGAATGACTTTTCTTCAGTGTTCTCTTAGCTCACCACTGGTGCAGAAGCTTCCAAGGAGCATCTGGTGATGATGTTGGGGTGCTCCTGCACTCGGAACAATGAGAGAAGAAAATGAAGTAGCGGTGCCTGTATTTCTTCTGTCCATGCATGTGAGCAGATGTTCTTGCAGGTTGACAAATTGTTGTCTTGTGTTTCACAGAGCCCAGCCCAGTTTTTGACCTCAAGGCAGAATATGTTGGTGTGACTTCTGTCAACTTATCATGGGCAGTGAACGACACTGCTTCCAACTCCTACACGTACAGGATAGAGGTTGTAATTGATACCTCTATTATGAACCTGACATCCAATGTCACTGAAGCTGCAATTACTGAGTTAATCCCTGGGACAATGTACAATTTCACAGTGTTAGCAGTTGCAGCTGATGGTCAGACAACAGGAGCAGGAACATCCATAATCCAGTATACAAGTAAGGAAATCATGCTTCTCAACTGCATAAATGTGCAGTTTATACCAAATTGTGCTGCTTTTTTTACTTTGGGTTTCCAGCTCTGTGCTGTTTGTCATTGTGATGTTGCTTTGTACTAGGTTCCTGTGGGCATGAATGCAAGTGGCCTTTGGTAAAAGGGAAAAGGACTGAGGTTGTATGCATCACTGTGTGTTCATGTGTTGCCTTTAAAGCAGTTATTTCATCAGCTTCACTGCTCTAGACTATATAATATCCAGCTGCTGCCACAACATGACTTTTTCTAGACTTGAGGGCTGAATAGGCACCCTACAATATTTCTGGAAGCAGGTTATCTCAGCTCATACCAAATGACATGGCATGCAGGGTTCTGGCTAGGATCACAGGGGCTTCTGGTTCTTGAAAGTATATTTGAGCTCATTGCAAAGTCCCTCTCCTGTGGCTCCTGTGGCCTATGGTAGTGTGTAGGGACACATCATCGAATGTGGTGCCATTTTTGCTGGCTTTGTGCTGTGGCACCTTTTTCCCAGATCAGAGGCGAACAGATGAGAGGAGACGATCTTTCTTTTGTATCTGGCTCAGAAGTGGATGGGGAACAGGCAACGTCTCTACAGAGCAAATAGAAGCAGTGTGTCGTGAAGCTGCTGCTTAGTAGATGAGCTTGTCTAAGCTCCCTGAAGTGAGTCTTGTCTGTCTAGTGCTGATGCTGAACCAAGCTTGCAGATACAGCCCCTCAGGGTGGGTCAGGTGTTGGACCTGCTCAAGGAGCCCATTTTCTTCTGCTGATGTTGAGGAGAGGCTGCGTGAAGGGCTCAGATTAAGACTCACAAGCAAAATTTTGAATTAACAGACCAAGATCACCCTCACTCTGCTTCTTTCCTTGGTTTCCACCTGTTTCTCCCTCTGGAAACCCACTGTAGAAACAAATAATTTTAGCATGTGAAATGAACTGAAATAGAATATAACCCCAGAACTTCTGTGGCCTTTCAAGAGATCCCCCAGCATGAATGTCTGAAAATGGACATTGATACTGTAGAAGTACTGTTTTGCTACAAATAATGCTCATTCTATGTACAATAGGGAAATTTGTCTGTGGCTGCTCAATTTATCTGTCTTCACTGATTGTTGTATTGCCTTTCACAGAGCCCAGCCGAGCTCTTGATCTCAAGGAGGGATATGTTGGTGTGATTTCTGTCAACTTATCATGGACAGCGAATGACACTGCTTCCAACTCCTACATGTACAGGATAGAGGTTGTAAGTGGTACCTCTGTTATGAACCTGACATCCAATGTCACCGAGGCTGCAATTACTGAGTTAATCCCTGGGACAATGTACAATTTCACAGTGTTTGCAGTTGCAGCTGATGGTCAGACAGAAGGAGAAGGAGTATCCCTAAGCCTGTATACGAGTAAGTCACAGTTTATTGCAACCCTGTTTCTGATGGACTGTATTTTACTGATGTGAAGAAAGTGAAGTAGCGGTGCCTGTATTTCTTCTGTCCATGCATGTGAGCAGATGTTCTTGCAGGTTGACAGATTGTTGTCTTGTGTTTCACAGAGCCCAGCCCAGTTCTTGATTTCAAAGCAGAATATGTTGGTGTGACTTCTGTCAACTTATCATGGGCAGTGAACAACACTGCTTCCAACTCCTACACATACAGGATAGAGGTTGTAACTGATGCCTCTATTATGAACCTGACATCCAGCGTCACTGAAGCTGAAATTGCCGAGTTAATCCCTGGGACAATGTACAATTTCACAGTGTTTGCAGTTGCAGCTGATGGTCAGACAGAAGGAGAAGGAGTATCCATAAGCCTGTATACGAGTAAGTCAGTTTCTTGCAGGCCTGTTTCTAATGGACTGTATTTTGCTGTGCAGAGCAAAGATATACCTACCTGCCCAAGGGTTGAAATTTAATACTGTTTTAGGCAGAGGTGATGTGCTTTGCCTGCCCACAGGCAGAGTTGTTTGTGTGGAAGAGGCATAGTCTTTTAAAAAATAAAAAATAAACAGCCTCCAGTCAAAAAAGAGTGATTGTTGAAGATGGTCATCAAGGCCTGTGACACAAAGAAGGAACACTTCCTGAGAACCTACTTGCCTGGCCTGGGATTTGTGGGCAGTTTTGCTGCCTTTGCTTTTTGGAGAATGGGAGCCTGAGACCCTTATTTTGAAGGGCTCCAACACAGAGAAAAGTTACTCTGCTGGGGGGAGCTTGAGTGATTTAGAGGCTGCGGATGCCATTGGGCTGCAGCAGAAAAGTGAGCTTTAGGCAGCACAAGCTCAGGACAAGAATGGTGGTGAAGGAGCAAGGTGCCTTGGTCATCACCTCTGCTCCTTTTCCGGTGATACCTGTTGTGTTCTAGCCCTTTGCTGTGCATGGATATACCACCAACTGCTTTCCACACTTTCCCCTGCAATCTTGTATCTTTTCTGACCACACCACTGAAGCAAAATACTGGACTTGCTGCCACCACAACCTGTGCTTCCACTTTGGAGTGTCAAAGGGAGATGAATCTAACTCAGAATGACTTTTCTTCAGCTTTGTTTTAGCTGATCATTGGTGCAGAAGCCTCCAGGAGCATCTGGTGATGTTGTTGGGGTGCTCCTGCACTCGGAACAATGAGAGAAGAAAATGAAGTAGCGGTGCCTGTATTTCTTCTGTCCATGCATGTGAGCAGATGTTCTTGCAGGTTGACAAATTGTTGTCTTGTGTTTCACAGAGCCCAGCCCAGTTTTTGACCTCAAGGCAGAATATGTTGGTGTGACTTCTGTCAACTTATCATGGGCAGTGAACGACACTGCTTCCAACTCCTACACGTACAGGATAGAGGTTGTAATTGATACCTCTATTATGAACCTGACATCCAATGTCACTGAGGCTGCAATTACTGAGTTAATCCCTGGGACAATGTACAGTTTCACAGTGTTAGCAGTTGCAGCTGATGGTCAGACAGAAGGAGAAGGAGTATCCCTAAGCCTGTATACAAGTAAGTCACAGTTTCTGGCACTGTAAGTCACTGTTTCTAATGGACTGTATTTTGCTGTGCAGCACAGGGCTCTGCCTACCTGCCTGAGGGCTGAAAGAACAATATTTTTTCAGGCAGAAGTGCTGCACAGAGCCTGCCTGCAGTCAGCAATGTTAATATGTAGGAGAGGGCTTGGGGGGTGGGGGTGGGGGTGTGTGTGTGTTGCCTTCACTCCATGTGTATTATTTTGAAGTGTTCCCAGAGAGGGAGCATTGTGCCTCAGTAACGTCCCCCTTTGGAGGGGCCTGTAGCTGCAGCTGGTCTTCCGGGCAGCACTGTGCTGTTGACCATACTGCACTGCTTGGCTTGCCAGGAGAGAGGAGAAGGTTGAGGTATTCCTGTGTTCTTATGCTGAGCACTATGACCATTGTTGCCCCTCGTTGTGAATATGAGCCACTGTGTAATTTCCTCTGTTTTGTCACATTTTGTCTGAGGTGAATATGGGACAGATTTCTTTGATGAGTCTGTCCCAGGGCTCCTCAGGAAAGTTTCCAGATGGGCCCCAGGATGAAGCTGTTAAGAGTGTCTTTGTACTGTGAAAGTTCTGCTTGGCTACTCATAATGCTTAATCAGGCCAAAACATGGAAGTGTGGCTATGCCTCTGCTGCTTCTGTCTCTGTCAGCAAGTATATGTGAGTGCTGATGAAGTCTCATCTTGACTTTCACAGAGCTCAGCTCCATTTTTCATATCCAGGTGGAGTGTGCTGGTCTCTGATTTTTTCCCATTGATAAAAAAGTTGTAGCTCCTCCTCTAGCAACCAGACATCCAGTATCACCAGAGCTGTTTATAATCATAAGTCCTAGAACCTTCTATAATTTCACCTTATTTGTAGAAGTAGCTGACAGTGTTACTGAAGGAAAAGAAATATTTATGAAATGCAGTAGAAATAAGTTCCAGTCACTCACATTTGTCTTTTAACTGAATCAGTTTCCTCTGGTACACAATTATGCTTCTTCTTAGTTTCTTAAAATAATACCCTTTCTTAATAACAAAATAATTAAATCCATGAGGTTTTTACCCCTGTATTTGGGAGTGCCAAATACTTTGTCATCAAGAGAGGAAATAAATTTGCTATGTGTTACAACTGTAGAGAGTTTTGGTCTTGAAGGCCAAGTTTTAGAAGATGTTTAGTTTAGAGAAACCTTTCTTAGTGTTACTGCTACATTAACTTTTTTAATACCTTTTTCTATCTGGTCATAAGGATGCAGTTTTAACAGTATACTGTAAGACTCTCAGACTGACATGTTGTAGTTGCTGCTCTTAAGGATGGCTACTCCTTTGCTCTTAATGCACAGAGCTTATATTCATTGTATTTGTTGGCACCTAAGAGTTCTAAATAATTATACAGTAAGCTAGTGTCAATTTACATACTACTCTATAAATGTTCTTTGAGTGCTATGTTCAGTGCCTGAACAGTATTTTGAAAATTTTGCTGATCTTGACTTACTCAAATTTTCTCAGTAAACCTGTCTGCAGAGGAGTTAGAGAGCACAGAATAGGTCACTAATACTTAGTGTGCTACATACTTCCCTTCCTCATAGGGTAACAAGTCCTTGTAGGCAGTAGCTTTATCTTTTTAAAAGTGGAAAAGAATATTGAAGTTTTATAAACATTTATACAAAGAACTTGGCTTTGTTTTTGTATTTTAACAGCTCCTGCCTTAGTGAATTCATTTCAGTGTGAACCAGTGCTCAAGGAGTCTTCTCTAATACTGAAGTGGGAATGTCCTCCTGGTAACAATTCTGGCTTCAAAATAAAAATATTTAATGATACATGGGAAAAAGAAGAACAGGCTCCATCCTGCATTGGAGAAGGCTCAGCAGAAACCTTCGTAACACCATCTTTAGATTATTTCAGCATCTATACTGTTACTATTGCAACTCTTTCAAACAGTTCTGAAAGTGATCCAGTACAGAAAATGTGTAATACAAGCATTACTGGTAAGCATTGCGATTTGAGAACTAAAAATATTCATAGGACTAAAATGTTGACTTCATGATTGCAGAACAGAAAACTTGAATGCAGTACGCTATCACCCTACACACTATGCATAATATACAGTGTTCATGCGAAGTCTAATGTGACGCACAATAAATATGCATTATATGAATAGCATCAGTGTTACAGCATTTTACTGTTTAGAAAACTCTCTTTACCAGTCAGGTACTAAAAAATATTTCTGTTTATAGACCCACCTGCTCCAAGCAAACCTCCTTTAGTCAAGGTAGTCAGTCACAACTCGTTGTCTGTTGAATTCTCCAACTTTGAGTCAGTGAATGGACCATTAAAAGCCTATGCAGTATTGATCACAACAGAAGAACAAGGTGAGATGTTATAATGTTATCTTGTAGTTTTGTGAAATAATTTATCAGACAGCATTATGTTTTAAACTCTAAACAGGTGTTAAATGGATAGAGGAAAATCTGACTCATTATTTTCAGTCACCTTTCAAAAGTCATAAGGCAAACACCTTGCTTGCTTGAAGTCAGATCACTCCTTGTTTTCAGAAAGCTACTGTTTTCACTCAACCTTTTCCATCCTGACTTATCCTTGTATAAACGTCTCATATGTATTGCCACTGTGCTGTTACCATTTTGATTTGCTGCCACAAGATTGTGGAGTATCCCTTTTTCCTCAGAGAATAATTTTCAGAGCTACTAATTTGAGCAGCTTTGGAATGTGAAGTGGTTTTCCCCCTCCCTTCTTCAGCTGCAAGATATCTGCAATAAGATCTTTAAAGGAAAAAAAAAGAGAGAGCTTTCCTTCTTATTTTACTTAGAATGCTTTATTAACTGAGAGAAATAGGGTACAGATGGAAAGCTTGAATAGCATTGTCAGCATTACATGCCGTGGGAAGTTGAACACCATGAAAGCTAGAGGGTGGTTTATTAAACTCATGTCTTTAAAGCATCAGAACAGAGATACATCTTTAATTGGTGAATGTCCAGTGATAAATCATGAAGCTAGGGAACTTACCTTTGCAGTGTAGGTTCCAATTGGATGTCATTTAATTTCTGCCCATGCACTGGAGGAATAGAGCAGCTTATGGAGATAGTTTCCCCCAAGCAGGATTTGACATTGCTTCTTATCCTTTGTCTTAATACTGGAAATCCATCTTGCAGCAGTTAAACTGTGGATCTTTCTTCTGTGGTTTTGCATATAATATACATCCAAGAAATGCCCATGTATGTGTAGTATACCGGTGCACATGTTTTCACATGCCTACTCAGCTGCCCTGGAGTTGCTGATTTGACTGTCAGTCTTTTGAATGCAGTAACAGCTCTGCTTGTACATTCAGCCAGTCCTTTTTAGTCATGATGAGATTCAGGGCATTCTTCTGTATAGTTTTGATTGCAAAGTTTTCAAGATGTGATTGACAGAAAGAAGGAAGGAAGACTGCCTGTATTTATAATATAGAATCTGAGTACTTTGATAGGAGCAGAAAACTATCCTTACAGCCAAGCATCACTTCAGCTTTATACTGTTGAAATAGCATTAATATGTTTGAGATGTGTTTCTCTCTCTTAAAACAGACATTTCCTTTAGGGTAGACAGAGGGGACTTTCTTCAGTTGTGTAAGCAATGGTTCTAAGGCTGTTTGAGATGCTGTCCTGGGTTCAGCAGTAGCAGTCATTTTTCTCCTTCTTGGTAGCTGGTGTAGTGCAGTGTTTTGACTTTCAGCTTGGGAACAGAGCTGATAGCGATGTTTTGGTTTGGCCAAGGACTTTGTGAGCCTCATGCTCTGCCAGGGGGGAGGGGAAGCCAGGAGGAAGCAGAGACAGGACACCTGACCCAAACTGACCAAAGAGGTATTCCATACCACAGCACGTCATGCCCAGGATGTAACTGGGAGTTAGCCGGAAGGGCTGGGAGACTGCAGGGTTGGAGGAGGTATCGGTCGGAGCTTGGTCGGGCTTGGGGGCCGAGTTATCGGTCAGCTGGTGCTGAGGTGTTGTATTCTCTTCCCTTGTTATTTCCTTTATCATTATTATCATTGGTGGTAGCAGTAGTGATTTGTGTTATACCTTAGTTACTAAACTGTTCTTATCTCAACCCGTGGGAGTTGCATTCTTTTCAATTCTCCTCTCCGTCCCTCCGAGAGCAGGGGGAGGGCAAGAAAAGGGGGGGAAGTGAACGAACGAATTACCTGACTGGGTTTAAACCACGACAGGTGCCCAGGGGTGATATCCAAAATACCCTCAAGGAGCAGCAGATATAACCTGGGTTGTACATCCATTTGAAATGGAAGATAGGGATAAGACAGACATATAATGTATCTGAGATAGTACTGAACATCCATTTCTATGCAACTAAATTAATTGCAACCTCATCTGCTTTTAACATAACCAATCTAGTGCTTTAGAAGAGCTGTCTTGCGCCCTGTTCCTGCACAATTAGAAGTTGGTGAGAGCTTTGCTACTGGTGACAGTGAGCCACCAGCTCATTGGTGGCAGATCAAACCTTGTCTTCACAACTGTAGAAAATTTGTTAGGGCTTTTCCATCTTTCAGAGCTCCTGCAAGGCTTCTTTTTGAAGGTGAATTCAAGACTATATCTGCTTTTAGAAAGAGCTTTTAGCTTAAAGACAGTCAGCAGAGAACTATTTATGCAAACTTCAGTCGAATGAGAAAGATGCTTCTTCCTCCTGCAATATATGAATACTAAACATCAGATTGCTTGCTCTTCAGTTCTTGGACAACTGGTAATTTGAGCTTCTGTTATATATGCCTCAACTGTATAATCCACCTCATGTTAGGATGGTTGTATGGGGCTTTGGGGAACCTGTCTAGTGGAAGTTGTCTCTGCTTGTGGCAGGCGGTTGGAACTAGATTATTAAGGTCCCTTCCAAACCGAACCATTCTTTGATTCTATGAAGTTTCTAGGATTCATCTTCTAACAACAGACTAAAGCGATGCTCTTCTGCAGGTGGTGCCCTGTTGGTCACTGGCTGCTATAGCCCATTCTGCTGAAACTTCTGGAAGTGAAACTTCTGGTCATGGTTTTGTCCAATGCTTGTCTATGTCAAGGAAAGGCAGAATTTAACTCCTTGGTCTCCTACGGTTTAAGTGTGCGACTTCCTATAAGACACAGCAAGGAAGGTCAGCACGAGTTTAGTGTCACCCTGAATGAGTTTTAATGCTGTTTGGGTAGCACACATTACCAAATACCAATTTGCATCATACTCTCCACATATGATAGTTGATACGTGGATATGACTGACTTGCTTAGTGAAGACTGTCCAGGGGAACATCAGAATCGATCACTAATGTAGCTTTATGGAGAAGCTCCACCACACATGGGAGAAATAAAATCAAAAGGAGGTTAAAACAGGTAACGCTGGGGAGTAGGGAGATAGTTCAGTAGGTTGCACTGCAGTAGATGAGATTGAAGATTGTTGCACTCAGCCTTTCATTTCAGGCAGCATTTATGGAGTAATAATAACTGTGGTGAATGTGACCATCTCACCACTGCGACGATAGGTAATAAATCAGTGGATGATGTATACAACATATATCCTTGTTTTTTTCCTGAAGGTTGTGGGTCTTTGAAGTCCAAATTGAACAATACGTATGAAGATTTCAAGAAGAAGATGACTGTCACCTATGTAACATACGTTGTAGCTACAGAGCAGGCAAAATCACCTTTTCCTTCTCAGAATGGTACAAACATTGTTAACGTAGGCAATGGAGACAAACCGTGTGGCTACAAAAATGGACCATTGACTCCACTTCATTCATACAGGTAAGTTTTTTTGCAGTTGAAATCTAAAAGAGTTATCTTAAGAAAAAATGACATCTTGCTTAGGGTTGTTAAAACCATGTAATGTGCTACTTTTTTTTTTCTTCTCCCTTATCAACAGGGCAAGTGTTGCAGGTTTCACTAATGTAACCTTTAATATGGATGGTATCATTGTGGCAGAAGATAGTTATGTATCATTTTCACCCTGTTCTGAGGCAGTTTTGCTACCGCAGGATCCAGGTATAGTTAATGTCAAGTATAGGACTGGCAGCTTGGCACATGCCCCCTGTGTGGAGATTCCTTAGTTATGGCGACTTTCATAACAACAAAACACCTGCTGGTTTCTCTGTGATGTACTATTTCTGTCCAGCTTTGCAGTGACAATTTACAGTGACTTTGCTCTGTAAATTCACACCTTGCTAGTTCTGTGAATGACTTCTTTTTTCCATGTATGACTTCCACTGTGGAAGTAACCAAAAGCTGTGCTACTTGGGGCATGCTAAAAGGGATTGGCTGCCACAGTGAGACTTTGGTACAAAAACAAGTAGCAAAAAGTGGCTGATGTTCTAACAGTTCTGGTAAATTAAAAGCAGATGCCTTGGAATGGAAATACCAGTCCTTTGATCCCAATTCTTTATTAATTTATCACCCTTGGTTTGTTACTCCTTATGAGCTTTCAATACTGGTACTGCCAAAGGACCCAGTAAAGAAAAGACATTTAGTGGAGTGGAGTATATTCTGTCACTTGCGAGGTTCTCTTGTATTATGTTGAGTTAGATAAGTTCCAAAAAGGTTAATCAGTAATGAGTAACACTTGTTCTTTCCTATCAGGTGTTATTGCTGGAGCCATTATTGGATGCCTTTTAGCTATATTGGCTGTAGTCACTATAGGGGGTTTCATATTCTGGAGAAGGAGAAGGTAATGTGTTCAATACTGTATTTGTTGTGATGAGGAGCACCAGTATTGCACTTCTGTATCTCTCTTCTGAAAAGGCCTCTGTTTAAAATATAGAGTGTATTTTTAAGGACATGCTTTAAAATACATTTGTTAAGAATCTTGTTTGTATGTTACAGGTTAGAGCTGATGTATCAGAATAGTTAAGTGACTTTGTTCAACCCCATAGTTACAATCTAATGAGTTGAGATTGTTTTGTTTTTCTCTTCTGAATTCATTTATGCTGAAGTAATTCAGTCAGAAGTGAGCAATCATCACAAGTTATTGTGCTAAAAGACATATATAATTATATCTTAGCTGGTTTTATTTTAAATTATCCATTAATCACAATTATTAATTGCTTGATGGCCTGTCACATAAAACTTCCATTCTGGAGTACCCAAAAGCTGATGGGTTGGCTAGGGTTTGAGCTGGGGTCTCCAATCTTTTCCAAATAATCTAGGACCTAAGAGTCCACAGAGGGTTTTTGCTGCTTCTGATCATGTGGTGCATCCTCTCTAGAGAGTTAACTCTAGTCCAGTTTTCTTAGTTTCTTTGATTAGCTGCTGTTATTTTTACAAGTGTGTCTAATAACTGTGGACAATAATGACAAGAGCTTCCTTCTTTTAAAGCGGGGAGCACTTACTTTCATTCAACTACCACCTTCAGTACCATTGACGCATCACCATTGAACTCTTAATGTAGACATTCTGGGATTAGTAGCAATTCTCCTGAGATGTTAGCTAACGATGCAGATCTCTCAGATGTACTTCTTCCACCAAACTGTGCTTTGTGTTCTATGCTCTGTATTGTACTCTGGTCCCAACTGGGAATGCAATTGGGAAACATTCCCATTGCATAACATCACTGGAGGAAGGATGAAGTCTTCTTTCAGGTGTAAGGTTTGCCTCGGGAGGGTTTTCTTTTCCACCAAGTGGAATTTAAAAGAAATTGTTCTGAACAGGCACAGGAAATAGCTGTCATCAGGAATCTCATCTGCATTCCATTAAATTCTGCTATCAGCCTATTGTGTTGTTTTCTTTTGCCTTATAGGAAAGATAAAAGAAATACTGAGGTGTCCTTTTCTCCAATTAAGTAAGTCTGTGTCCTTTCACACACTTGTTTTCTGAGCTCAAGTGGTATTGCAGAACTTGCTCTGAACCCTGATACTCATTTTCTGTGTAGTTTTATATGGGATTTTGCAGTATTAATTCCTCGTAGAATTTAAAGACTCCAGCCTGCAGATCATATTGATCGAGACTTCTAGAGCTGCCACAGAGCTTGGGGTGCTTGCTTTGTGAATCACCATTAGATGCAGAAATGCTCCATATAGTTTTGAAAAACAGGATGTTTGAATGAAATACAGGCTTTGTACATGCTGAAGGAACAATTCAAATTGTTGATAAAGGGCAACATTCTGCACCATGGCCTGAATTTTCCTTTGGTTTATGACTACTTTGTGCCAAGTCATTAGTTCAGATAATGTTGAGATTGTGAAAGCTGACTGTGGGAGGGTAACTACAATATATTGGAAGTCACGGGCAGTGCAGTGAAATCACATTATTGTTTCTTGCTTCAATTTTTGTGCTGATGGAAAAGCATAGCTGGAGCATTCCATAAAGTCCCACCTTCGTAGACTTAAAAATACACCAGGGAATAGGGCTAATTTGGTGGGAGTACAGAAATGGCTGATTGAAACCTGCTATGATATCCTCCTGAAGGATGTGCTTTTCTTTCCGTGGTTTAACAGATCAGCTAAATGCTATGCTTGATATCCTATTCCCTTTAAATGCAGTTTTTTTGCTGCTACTAACAGGCATGCTTTCATTCTTAGATTCACGTAGTGAAAACCACAGCTGCATGTGTCTAATCAACCTTTTTTTCTTCCCCTCACCCTTCCCTGAAGAGTCAAGAAGTAAGTAAAGCGCACTTTCTAACACATTAACTGAATTCATGGCTTATTTACCTAGTACCAGTTACCAATTACATGGATTTTCTCATTTTAGATCAAAGATGATTAAAGTGGAGAACTTTGAATCCTACTTTAAGAAGCAGCAAGCTGACTCCAACTGTGGATTTGCTGAAGAGTATGAGGTATGTGCCGTCGGTAGAGAGCACTTCATGACACATATTTTTGGAAAGGCAACTCAGCTTTCTTATGAAGCATACGTGAGGCTTACTGAAGGGAAGAGAAGGGACCTTTATTACAGAGATTATTTAGATGCATATACAGCCTTCCCTGATTCAGCTCCAGATTTAGTTGAAGCGCATGACAAATACTTTACATACTGAGCTATTATCTCTACCTGTGAGCTTACAGCATGGCCTGCTGGTTCGTGCTCTTGCCAGAGACAGGATCTCCTGAGCCCTTTCCCAAGTCACATGATACAGCCTAGGGAAAGCTATTTCACTTCTCTGCTCTTTGTTATTTTTTAATCTTGTTTTTGTTTTCTACACAGCAAGACTGGTCTCTTGCTAATGTCATTGACTTATTTAGAGTGTAGGTGTGATTTGCAAACCACACCTGTGGAATAGCTTGAAGGAGCAGTTACAGAAACAGGAATTATGATTTGTTTAGTGACCATAGATGTTTTTCTGTGAAATGTGCTAAAGTTCAGGCATAAAAGACAGGAATTGATTGTCAGTAAGGATTCTGTGTTGTCATGTCTGCTGTTAAAGAATCTCTTTTCTTTTTCTTTTTTTTTTTTTTTTTTTTTGGTGTTTTTTTTTGTTGTTGGTTGTTTTTCTGGGGTTTGTTTTTTTTTGTTGTTGGTTTTTTTTCACCATCTCCTTGAAGCTATTAATTGACTTCTTTCCAGATCAAGTTCTGTCCCTTTGATTTTGCTTTGCAGGCTGGTGCTCCACCTTGCCTTCTTCTCACATTTTGCCTCCTGCAGTCCTGGTGTACTTGGTCCCTTTCTCCCTGTAATGTTTGCAAGGCTTATGCTAAGTAGTTCCCTGCCTTGGGGTCAGGGAGTGTGCCCTTGATGTTAGTGTCTTGTATTTCTGCAAAATTGTTTCTGGGCTTTTAAAGCCTGTCTCTGGGTTTTAAACATGCTACTATTCCTACATTCCGTATTAATCCCTTGTCTATCCGTTTGCCGCTGTCACTCTTCCACTCTGTAAAAAGATGATTTTTGTCATCATTTATCCCATTTACCATGCCTGCTTTTACAGCAAAGGCTGAGAATGTTTGGAGTATTTGTCTTTTAGTCAAGTGTTTGTGTATAATTCCTAAACCAGGACACAGGGGCTCATAAATCCTCCTTTCATTGTAGGAACTCAAGTCTGCTGGTGTTCATCAGCCCAAATTTGCTGCTGAACTTCCTGAGAACAGGGGCAAAAATAGATACAACAATGTCTTACCATGTGAGTTACTCTCTTTGGTTTTACACCTGCTACTGGTTGAGATTTTAGATGGAAAACCATAGGTTAGTATAAGCAAACCCAAAGAGCTTTCACTTAAAGAACTTTCCTGTAATAATTTAATTTTCCATTTGTGAGAAACTGCAGTCCAGATTGAAAAAGAGGTTAACTGTTGACTATGGGCAGATGTGCAAAGCTGTGTGAAATATTAAGACCTTGCTGGCCAGCTTTGCAGGTGAGCTGAGAATGTAAACCCAGCCAGGCTGTCTGCAGGCATCCCAGCCTAGCTGAGTGTAGGGAGGAGTTGGAAGCGAACAGTGGTGGGTATGTAGGAATGCTTTGAAGGAAAAACATTAGCTTCAGCGGCAGCAGGAGAAAATTACCCATTTTTATCCAGTAATTAAAACTATAGTAATTTCCATGTTGGACTGAAAATATATAAATAACATAAAACCAAACCATGTTTAAAAAATAAGAAAATCTGTGTTGAGTATTCTCAGTCTTTATCTTGGCCTCTCATTTTTCTGAAGACTTTCATGATAACAATTCTAAACTACAGCTACTTGTGATTCCTAAAACTTTATTGTTAACATGCCTTTTATTTAGAAACTGTGCATTAAATAAGCAGTATTTTGCTGAAAGGTTCTAGTTCTAAAATACATATTTTTTTTTTCTTTCTGCAGATGATATTTCCCGTGTTAAACTCTCAGATCGGAGCTCTGCATCTGATGATTATATTAATGCAAACTATATGCCTGTAAGTCGCTTATTGAGTTGAAATGAAATATAATGTGTATTTTTGCAATGTAGCCTCAACAGCTCATAATGATGTTTAAAGTCCACTTTTTATGTCTCTGCATGTGTGTGTGTATTTTACTTTTTGTTTTCTGTTTTTTTTTTCCTTAGGGCTATAACTCAAAGAGGGCGTTCATTGCTGCACAGGGTCCTTTACCCAATACTATAGAAGACTTCTGGTGCATGATTTGGGAAAAGAATATCTACTCTATCGTTATGTTGACAAAATGTGTTGAACAAGCCCGGGTATGTTTTTATTAAAACTGAACTGTCACTTGAAGACAGTTGTATCTCTTCTAGTTTTATTGTTACCCTGCTAGGCTGGAGACTGAACACTTTCTTTTAACAACCATCCACTTACTGGGTGGCTGTTTTCTAAATTAAATAATCCAAATTTTTATTTTTATTATTTTATTGTTCTGGTTTTTTTTTAGCTTTTTCCATTTTTATATGTGTTGACTACCAGAATAGATTGTCTCAGGAGGGTTGTAGAATCACCATCTTTAAGAGTGGATTATTCTCCCTAAAGAATAATTCTGGGAGAGCTTTTCCTACCCTGAGCCAGGCTATGGGGAAGGGTGATGTGCTTTCTAGCCTTGCTTCAGGTGGTGTCATTCACAACTAACATTGCTGTGTGTAATGTGCCTAACCTTGTAATTCTCGTCTTAGACAAAATGTGAGCAATACTGGCCAGACAAGCAGCCCAAGAGCTATGGTGACATCATTGTGACAGTGGTCTCAGAGATCATCCTTCCAGAATGGACGATAAGGGACTTCACTGTAGAAAAGGTGAGTACCGCCTTGCTTGCTGTTAGTGAAGTATCTCTAGGTATGGTTTGTCATATCACATGTCAAGCAACACTGGAGTGAAAGAACACAGTAATTTCATTAAAACTTAAATTCAAAGTTGTCTGAGGGAAAAGAGTAAGAGTGGTTTATTTTAATTTGAGGCTTTGAATATATTGGCCTGCTTTCTACCAACAGTCTGATTTTAAAATCTTTCACCCTACTTACTGACGAGATTCCTGTGATGTGCATGCATTTATTCATAAGCCCTGGCTTCTCACAACAGTGTTTTAGTAACAAATCTGGAGGTGGGATTGATTGCCAGTAAGACCTTCCCAGTGGCAGAATGTGATCTGCCAGCAAATCCAGCCTGCTCATGGGAATTCCTGATTGGTGATCCTTCAGTGATCCTGCAGCTTGTGTTTCCCTCAGACTTGTACCAAAACATGTGCTTATGCAGATACTTGTACTATCTGCTGGACTGAAAACACTTAGCTCCCTCTCAGCAATTGTAATGCAGCAGAGATATCTTGGAGTAAAGCGAAAAGTGAAATAAAACTATTTCAAAATATTCTCTACCAGAGCAGAAGGAAGAGGGAAACTGAAATATCATTGAGTTACTGTGCAATCTGTAATAGGCTTCTTTAACAAGGATGAACTTTGCCCAGTACATATGTCAGGAAGCTCTACTGGTGCTCCTCTGAAGCCAGTTTTCTTGTTTTTTTAATGTGTGTTCCTCTAGTCCAACACAGCAGAGGGCCACACAGTGCGCCAGTTCCACTTTACCTCCTGGCCAGATCATGGAGTGCCAGAGACTACAGAGCTTCTCATCAACTTTAGACACCTTGTTCATGAGTACAGCAGTCAAAATCCAATCGAATCTCCTACTCTGGTGCACTGCAGGTAAGAAGAACATGTTTGTGATAGACACACTTGTGGCTTTTTTTAAGAACAATTCTTTTCTAATGTGATTTAAAAAAAAAAAAAAAGAAAGAGAAATATGTCTCTGCTTGAAGACATGGGCAATTCACCCTGCCAAATTAAAACCTTTGCCTTGTGTTTCAGAAACATAGCAGTGCTACTACACAGGTAGAAAAGTGCCTGATACAAAACTTCATTAGAATAGACAATCTCTCCTAGCCTGGAAAACTTAACTGAAATAGTTGCCTTTTCATGTGTTTTTATATGCAACCTTGTGCAAGTGCAAGCTTGGGAAGCCTGGAAGCATGTCCTCCCTCCCTCTTGGTGATGGTAAGAACTACCCCTCCAGGCTACAGAGACTTTTAATACCTGTGCCACTGAAATAACAGAAACCATCTTACTGGCTTTTCAATGGGCTACTATTGAGCAGGTGGTTGTGAGAAAACAGTAAATGGCTTCCCCATGTCATTGCAGTGCTGGTGTTGGGAGGACAGGGACGTTCATTGCCATTGACCGCCTGATTCAGCAGATTGAAATGGAAAATACAGTGGATGTGTACGGAGTGGTGTATGATCTTCGCATGCACCGGCCTTTAATGGTGCAAACTGAGGTAAGGCTGTCTTCCATCCAGCAGCATGTTTTTCAAATGGGCCTAATAGTTCAGGAAGGGTGGACTCAAAATGTAGCTTAGGATTGCAGGAAGGTGAGATATTAAGGAGCAATCGGAAATTTTTCTTCATTTAACTTCCCTCTTTCCTGCCTCAGCTCTTCCACAAAATTAGTTGTAGCCAGGGGCCGTAGTAAGTCCAAGCAGTCTCTTTACAGAGTGCTTTGTAGGACTGGCGTTTGCAACTGGAAAGACTCAAATCCTGAAAAAATGTGGTGCTTTTTTTTTTTCTGCAGCTTGTTCTACTCATGTGAGTTTTAGCCTTACAGTTGTGAGCCAGAACTATCTTGAGTCAAGTGGTCTTGGTGTGCATCTTTTCTTTTGTGTTCTGCACGAACACGTGTTCCTGCTGAAATGATCACTTTGATCCAAAAAGGTGTCTGGACTAACTCAGTGCACGTGAAAAAGGCTGTAAAAGCTCCATCATAGACTCATGGAATAGTTAGGGTTGGAAAGGACCTTAAGATCATCTAGTTCCAACTTTCTAAGAGGGTGTTAGGCATGATGGTGAACTTGATTCTAGTTTTTTACAGGGGGTTGATCAGATGACATCATGAAGTCCTTTCCAGCCGTATTTTTTAAGAACTTCTGTGTATGTATATAAATATAACATCTAAAAAGTACTCTGTGATAACATTCGGTGCAGTGCATCCAAAACCCAAACCCTATATTCAAGAGCAGAATTACTTCCGAAATCAGGTATTTTCTAGAAATATATTACCCTCTCTTTTCCTCCCATTAGGACCAGTATGTCTTCCTAAACCAGTGTGTTATGGATATTATTAGATCCCTGAAAGACAGGAAAACTGATCTTATTTACCAAAACATGACAGCAATGGCAATCTATGAAAACGTCACACCTGGGCCAGGTTTCGGGAAGGCCAATGGCTACCACACATAGCCTGGGAGGAACGTGGTGTTCCCAGGAGACGTTACCTGCGCAGAGGAAAGGGAGATGTTCTGCTCGTGTTCTCTGGGATTGTGTGCACTGTCTTGTGTCTGGCTTCTCCAGTTCTGTCCACATTTGAAGTTGTGATCTGCAGGAGGAAAAACACAATGCTGGCAGGAGCCACAGATTGGTATTGAAAAAGACAAAAAACAAAGCAAAACTATTTGAAGTTAACAGAGGAATCTTGCTTTTTCTTGGGAATTTAACAGTACTGATAGGCGAAATAGCATTTGCAGAATGAACAGTGAACTAGAATTTAAATATTAAAATAATAACACAAGCTTTTTATTACAATTTCATATGATTTCATTTAGAGACACCAGGCTTGTGGGCTGTTTTAATATATTTAATTATAAGTTTCAGGAACATATTTTATCTACTGTATCTGGTTACTTAGCTAATAGGTATGTGCCTCTGTGATTTTTTTTTTTTCTCTGTGTTCCTTTTTATTTAAAAATGGAGTACAAACAGCTCCTTCAAATGGACATTTGTACTTGGAAATTGTGCCTTTTCTAGTTGATACTCTAGAAAAAGAAAAACCAGCAGAGATTCTATTTTTGTACTGAAACTCTTAATGAGAACACAGATTTTTAAATAAGGCTGTGTCAAACTTAACTGTAGTTGCACTGTTGGCAGGACTCTCCAAAAGTTTGGAGGTGAGCTTTGTTGTTGCATTTCACCACAACTATCCCCTGCCTTAATGTTTCAGTGCCTCTGCTAGAGGAAAAGGAGTGTGGTGTGTCACTCCCAGCTTTAACTATAGTAAAAAAAACTGAGTAAGTGAATATGTGAATGTGTGTGCAGAGATGCATGTGGGTGTGTATGAAGGACAGAATAGCTCATCCCTGTTCCTGGCAGATGAATTCCTGTTTTTATACAATATATAATGATTTATTTAAAGGTGCAATATATGATTTACTGAATAATGATCACTCTATTCTAATAGAGTTTTACTCAGGTTGGTGTCTTTTTATCATTGTTGTTTTTCCTCAAATATATAAATCTGTGAAAATGTCAAAGCCAAGGTTCCAAGTGTCCAAGCACTCCCAAACAAATTGACTGGCTTTACTGTTTCTACCAAAACAAATGGCACAAGATTCTGCTGTAAAGAAATTTCTTGGTTGTTCTAGCCATTCAAAACTGAGACATATCTTACCTGCCTGCATCTCATTTATCTAATGTAATTGTTTTATAATTATTTGCAATGTACTGCTGCTGTTGGTTTAACTGGTCCTTTTGAAAATAGATCAAGCAAGCAGAAAGCCCCTAGTTCCGATTTTACAAGTCAAGGATCAGATGGGATTTATTTTGCTGGTACCTAACTGTCAGACTTACAACGGCATTGCCCATGAAGGACTTCTTGAGTAGCTTGGTGGTGGGGGGTGGTTTTTGGTTTTCAGATCATTGCACTGGCTGCATTGCAGAAGAATATGAAGTTTATGAATGATGCTATAGAATAGCTCTAAAGTGGTGAAAATCTTATGAAGGTTTAATAACCAGAGTCCCTGGAATTCTGCTGCTTTTTTGTTTTGTTTTGTTCTTTTGTTTTAGGAGAGTTGTCAGAAAGAGCTACAGGTACTGGGAGTATATGTGGCATTACAGTGGCACCTGGCAACCTCACAGAATCCACTGTAAGCTGAAGGAAAATGTGGGATTTCTGATGCACAAACTGTAACTTTAACCAGAGGAATTTTTTACAAGCTGGTGTGAAATTGTGGTGTTCTGTGTGTGAGCAAAACTGGAGGATAAACCACAGTGTACTTCAGCTTTGGTTTTGGGTTAGGTTGGCGGGGTGTGTGTGTGTGTGTATTTTGTTTGGGGTTGTTTTGGGTTTTTTTGTAGCAGCCACTTGTGGGTTCTTAATTAGTTTGGTGTTTTGTTTTTTTTTTTCTGTTTCTTTGAAATCCGTTAAAAAATAAATTAAAAAACCCACAAACAACCAAACAAAACCCCAACAAAACCACAAGGTTAGTGATCCTGCCCAACTCCATCCAAGCTGGCAGTCCACATAGTGGATCTCTGACTCGGCATTCTTCTTAAGCTGCTCTCAGGTGACAAAGATAAACCACTTGGACCAAACAGAAGCATTCCAAAGGAACTGGGAGGGAGGAAAGTCTGCCCCTTTTTTTTCCTCCCAATCTTTCGGTTACTGCATATCTGTGCAGAGCACATAGCCAGTATTCATTAATCCAGGTTGGCCAAGAGGTTGCTGCCTTAGGGTGGCAAATACTGTCTTGCTTCAGAAGGCCTTTGTGTATAGGATGGAAGAGAGGGAGATGAATCTCCTATGCTAGATCATGTGTTTGCATTATATTACAGTAAGACATCAGAAAACTAGCTAGAATGGTGTGTGTTTCTGCCACAACCACTGCCCAGATACTCTTGCAGAAAACAAATGTATCTGTCTCATTGTTTTGATGTTGGAAGCAGGCACCAGATTCTCACTTGGATCATCGTCTAATGAGTATTAATTTTTAATACAACAGTATATGTATGTTTTCCCAAAACTGGCTTATTGTGACAAGAGACTGAAGTTAGATGTAAATGACCTGCTGATCCCATGTATGGGAGGAAAAAGTTGGTAAGGTTTAAAATGTTGTAATCACAAAGGTGGCCATAGTGTTGATATGAATAAGCAGGATGTGCCTCATAGGATATCTCAGCAGAGGATTACAGGTAATGCTTTACTACTGCCTTGTGGATCTGTCTTGGCCTAGGTGGCTTGAATTCCTGCAAATACTTTTTCCCCTGCTTTCTGATGTTCTCTGTATTATAACTGCTGAGGTCTGTCTCTTTGGTCACTGCTTTCTCTCACTGTTTTTTATCTAAAGCTACCCACTTTCCAGGCTGAAAGCTTCACTGTGTGGCAACTACATTTCCTGTGTTTCTGTTCTCTCTTTCCCATTTGGGGCCTGCTTAAGAAGGGAAATGTTGATGTTTTTCAAATAAGTGACTGTCAAATATCTTGAAATGATGTACAAATTTTATTGTTTTCATATTTGTTGTACAGGAAATTTCAGCACATGTCTATAATGTTTTTAATGGTTTGATTTGTTTTTAAAGATATAAAAGTAACAATTAAAATTTGTCATCCTAGAGTACTTTCTGTCTTGTTTTTCCTTTCTCAGGGTTTTCTTTTCAGCTCCTTTTGAATAAAAATTAATTTGCCAAAATACCTATTTCATGTAGAAGGGCTTTATAATGGGTAAGCAAAGTGGGCTTCTATCCCCTGGGGTGGCACTTGAGGCAGATATGTATTACCATCACTGGGGCTCCCTTCAAGGGTGTTAATTTATTATTGAGGTGGTTTCTCTAAATGAAGAGCTTTGTGCCAGTTAAAGGAACAATACCTTTGTTCAAAGTCAATGAAAAGATTTCCACTTACTAAAATAGCCTTGGAGAAATACCAGTGTTTCTAGGACTCATTTACTTCCAGAAAAACAAGAGAGGACTATTTCATCCCTTGAAGGAAATGAGGCATAGAAGGGGTGCAGAAGTGTCCTTGTGATGTTACAGCTGGCTTCTTGATTACAGATTACCTGACTGTAGGTGCATATCAGATTACCTCAATTAAGCCAGTTTATGCTAAAATCCTCAGTTTCCATTCCTGGTTGCCATCTGAATTGCTTCCAAGGAGGACCACATGCCTGGGGGTTGATACTGGCACTCAGCAGCTCTCCACTTCATCACGGGGTGCTGACACTAAAATCTTGTGATCCTCCATGTTAACTACTGTGGTTTTGGAAAAACTCTGTGGTGAGATGGGATTGACTTCACCATCTTCCAGTGGGAGTAGGGAAAAAGCCAGATTGTTTGGAACAATGTTCTGAATTTAATGCTAGTGTATTTGTGGACAGAACACTCTTCACACACTATGCCATGTCTTTGCTCTGGTTTCAGGGCAGGGCAGGATGGTTAAGAAGACATGTATCCTCTGAGAGATTTCTGGACACTTGTTTGCCGTGTTTTTTTTAGTCTGGCAGTTTTGTGCTGTGGTGATTCTTGTGCTGGGAATGTCTTGTTGGAAAGAAATTGGGGTCTGTGATAAAGGCTGATCTAATGTTATCCCTGATTAAGTTATGTATGTACCCAAGAGATGACTGCTGTCCCTCCAGAAAAGAAATACAGCGTGTTCGTTTCTGCTTTACGCCTTCAGATGGCACATGATGCCATTGTTTATTCCTGGGAATGCTTTTCCTGCCAGCCTGCTCACTTTTTCATTTCCTTCCCAGCAGTCATTTTTCTCCTTCTTAGTAGCTGGTTTTTGACTTTCAGCCTGGGAACAGCACTGATAACACTGATGTTTTTAGTTGCTGCTCAGTAATATTTACTCTGGCCAAGGACTTTGTGAGTCTCATGCTCTGCCAAGGAGGAGGGGAAGCCAGGAGGAAGCAGAGACAGGACACCTGACCCAAACTAACCAAAGAGGTATTCCATACCACAGCACGTCATGCCCAGTATATAAACTGAGAGGCAGTTACCTAGAAGGGCTAGATCACTGCTGAGGTCAGGCTGGGTATCAGTCGGCGGGTGGTGAGTGGTTGTATTTTCTTCCCTTGTTATTTCCCTTATCATTATTATTATTGGTGGTAGCAGCAGTGATTTGTGTTATACCTTAGTCACTGGACTGTTCTTATCTCAACCTGTGGGAGTTACATTCTTTCGATTCTCTTCCCAGTCCCTCTGGGAGCAGGGGAGAGGAACGGGGTGGGGAGTGAGCGAATGGCTGCATGGTTCTTGTTGCCAGCGGGGCTTAAACCATGACACCAGAGCACGGTAACCTCTCTCCATTCCATCTGCTGTTTCCCCTACCCATTCCCTATGCTGTCAGTGCAAAGCCTGTTTTCTCAGCCCTGCCTGATGTCCCCTCTGGCTCTGGCCTATGTCAGTGGTTCAGCCCAGGCTGCTGTGCCTCGAAAGGCTGTCTGCTGCAGCTGTAGAGTGCTGTGCACCTGATCAGATGACTTTTCAGAAGCTCTTAAGTTCAGCAGCAGCCTGGCAATGCCAGGTAATCCTTTGTTTTCTTAGGAAGTGCTTTTATGCCTGAGTCTTGCTGATGTCTAGATGTTTTCTGATGGTATGTGTAGTCCAAGGTGCAAGGGCTCTGGCTGAGACCAGTCTGGAGCTGGTTATTCAGCGTTACTGGCTGTGTGCTTGTTTCCCAGCTTACCAGTCTGCTCTACAGCTGTTCCCAGCAATATCAGATTTATAGGAGTGCTGAACACAGTGCAGATGCATCAATAAAGATGGCAAACAGCAATGTGCTTGCTCATACTGCTCAATATGAATAACAGTTAAAAGGCTAATTTGGTTAATGGATCTGTTTATGTGTGTGTGTCTAACACTAACCATGCTTCTTCTATGCCTTTTTCTACACAGGTCCTTGGGGAGGTTTTAAATTCACCTTTAAAAGCATCCAGCAACATCTGCTGAGTTTGGCATCTTCCATCTTCAGCCTGAAATACAGCGAGATTTCAATGCAAAGCTTTAGCAACAGATTTTTGAACAAGCACAGCTACAATGGAGATGGGTGTGTGAGAACACTTCAGCAAATGCTCTAACCTACTGGAAGATGTATCTGCAAACACTCAGCTGCTTACAAACCCTTCTATCTTTGAATGAGGAATAAATCAGAACTAGAAATGACACTTCACAGCCAAACTTCCCATGCTTATCTCTCAGCACTGGTCCTGTGGATGACCTGCTCTGAGAAAGGTTTGACCAGGCTGAACTGCTCTCAGCTGCTGCCTCTGGCCTGAGCAATGCTCCCAGTGCTAAGGATGACAGGCCAGGCCAGGCAAGCA